TTTATGTATGTAAATGGAGTAACCAGCCAACTGTCCAAATGCACTTCCGCCTCCCTGAACACATTTGGCAGGGTGACACTGATAGACTTTAGAGTGTTTCTTCTTCCTTCTCTTTTTCCTAATTAGCTGGGATTCCAGGAAAGTGGTACAAATGTCGAGTTGGGAACTAACTGCCTATATTTGGATGTACACAGGTTTTCTGTCTCCAAGGGCCTCTTGTTACACTGTGTCAGTTCACACTGACCAGAGAGCAAATCACAGCCACTGATAGAGCAGTCACACAGGGACACTAAGGTCATCCTACTTCCCTTCACTGTGGGCCTCTGGTGTGTGTGAAGGTTGACCAGTCAGTTCTGTAATCTGAAATAGTTTTCCATTTAATGGGCAGAAATCCAGAAATAATTAAGACAATAAGAGTGTGTGCATCTTTGGAGAGAGAAAAGAAATCTTGAGATCAAAAGACACAAGCATCAGTGACTGACTGAGCTCCTCCTTGGCAGAAAGGGAAAATGTACTAATTCATTCGTTTCTCTGCTGAGATCACGGTGGGTGGGGGAGAAGTGCAGATTCAAAAATTCCCCTCAAGTTCTAAGATTTTCAAGGAACAGTTTATTTAAATCATTCATAACTGAGTTTATAAAGTAAGATAGAAATTACCAAAGGGCACTATCATTTTAGTTTAATCGGAAAGTTATATAGTTATTATTCCTTTTAGCCTTCACTTGAACTCTGGGGGATGGGGGTCTTTACCCACAACACAGTAGAAGCTTCCAGTTGTTTTCTTTCTGTTAAATCTGTAACTATATCCTGATTTTATCTTTCTGAAGACTTCTGAATATTTGCAACTTAAGGAAAGTCCTGTTTCTCTAACTCAAGGCCTTTTTACACACACACACACACACACACACACACACACACACACACACACACACACAAAACCCACATATCATAAAAAAATCCTATTTAAAATTAAAAATCCCAATGTCTAGAAATTTTCTTTGTAATTAAAAAAAGTTTCAATTCAACTTGACTCCCTAATATCCAAAAACCCAGTCAATGATTGTTTCCAAGAAAAAATATTTCCCCCCAAATTATTTCAAATGCTTTGATGAGCGTATCTCCGGTTGAAAGTTTCAAGTCTAAGGCATATTTATTTTTCTCAGCTGCACCCAAGACCCTTCAAATTGCCGCTGCAACCTCTCCTCTCTCACTAGCTACAGTTATTCATCAAGGTAATTTCTGACTACTACTTGGAAAAAAAAACTGAAGAAAAAAAATTACACGTTGTTTTCCAGAAAATAACTGCTTTAAAACAGCATTTTAAAAGTGAAGGTGGGGGAGGGGGATACACGGTGTGCATTTTCTTTCTGGTTCCGAGTTGCCCCCCCCGTGAGAAATGTTTGACTCCCCTACTGAAAGTTCCCTAACATTCTGGTTGATGAGCTGTGTCCCCCTTTAAATCCCAAAATGACCTTCAGGCCACTTTTTAAGGTGATTTTTATCACACTCGGTCAGGAAGGGCCTAATACGTGAGAAGCCATTTCCAGAGCAGGGCGTGCTACAGACGTCCTAAGAAAATCCTTGAGACACCATCTTTGAAAAACTATTTGAAGATTGTTCACTTGAGTAAATCCTTAAGCCTGCTGCCCTCCCTCGCTTTCTTGGGCCTGTAGCCATATTACTCAGCCTCAAAGAATTCATCAATATTCAACTGGCTCTCTTAATATGCTGATGTAGCAAAAGGGGTTTAATAAAGAAAGCTGTTGCCATTTTTCTTCAGAGGACCTGTCACAAATTCATCTTTCATCTTCCAGCGCTGGAATCTTCTGGTATTTATGTAGGAAAATTAATGTTTATGTGCAGGAATCCAAACAAACGGACCCACCAAGCCGAACCTTAAAAGCCCAAAGAAAGCGTCTCACCCCAAGGACTAGGGAACTGTATGAACGATCTAGCCGAGGATTTAGACGCGTGTTCAGTCACATCTGACAAGCCGGCAAACTTTCAGTCCTGACCACGAGTTATGAGGATATTAATAGAAAAAAATTGTAGGTCCTAATAGTAGTTTTAAGTGCCCACTGAAACTATCCACGTTATCTACCGTGTTGGAAAAAAAAATCTTGAAAAGAAAATCTTGGTCTGTAAAATTTTTTTGGCTCTTTTTTTCTCCGCAGTTTTGCAGACCCTGGAAGACTCTACCATACTGCCCTCTCACCCCTCCCCTCCAAAAACCGAAAATAAACCCAAGTCATCAGAATAAGGCCACGAGATTCTAGCAACGCCTTGAGACTTTGCGACCGTCCTCGCAAAACTCAGTTTTTAGATCAGCCCTGAAGAAATATCACAGTAAAGTACAGAAATACAGCGGGAGTTAAGCAGCGCAAGAAGCTGCAGCGCTGAGCGCCGCGGAATCCGTGGTTTTAGTATCTGCTCGCCGTTTCTGCTCGCCGTTTTCGCGCGTGTGAGCGTGTTTACCCGTCTTGAGATTGTTTTTTCTCCCCTCCTTTGGCACCTGGTGGGTTTTGTTGTAGTTGTTCCAGCCCCCTCATGCGGTTCCAAACTATCCCGCACTCATTCTACCCTCAGCAATAAAACTTAGGCTTGACTCTGGGAGCGTGGAGGACCCCGCGGCCGACCGCTGCTACCAGCTTGCCACTCAGCTGCTGGCGATTCAGGGACGTCCGGATGTCCTAGCTAGTCAATGGCGCTGCGGAACAACCCACTAAGTCTCAGACAAGACAAGAGGTGGCTGGAGTGGAGGTTTAGCCCAAAGCTGCCAGGACAGCAGCCTCTCCCTCGGGAGTCTCCAAGCAAAGGCGCTAAGTAGTTCCTACGTAGCGCTTTGCGCCCAGCACTCCACTTGCCCCTGTGGCTCCTTCTGGTCATCTTCTGATGCCCCTCGACCCCCCATAGGTGGCTGCTACAGGCCAGCGATATCCATTGCCCTTCCCATTGAAATCCATCTGAGTTTACATCCCGCTCACTCAAAGATTTGTCCAACCCGGGAAAGAGATAAAGAAAGAAACTGAGTTTATGTTTAGCATCCAGGAGCTATTTTATAAGGGATTTCTCCCAGATTTTTTTTTTTTTGAGGTAGAGTCTCTCACATAGCTCAGACTGTCCTCGAACTTGCTATGTAGCCAAGGACGCCCTTAAACTTCTGTTTCTCCTGCTCCACCTCCTGAGTGCTGGAATCTCAAGCGTGCACCACCATGCCCGGGTTCTCCAGATTTGTGTTATTGTGACATTTTGTAAATATAGAAGAAAGTTGCCGATATAGTACAATGAAAGGCTATTTACTCCCCATCCAGATGCAACATCATCTGTTAGCTCCTTGCAATACATTCCCCCCTCCCTGAATGTGTGTGTGTGAGTGTGTGTGTGTGTGTGTGTGTGTGTGTGTGTGTGTGTGTGTGTGTATGGCATCATTTGAAAATCGCGGCCATCATTAGACTTCACCTTTCTACTCTTCGGCACAGATCTTGTAAGAATGTGGACACCCTGCTATTAACTTCAATAGCATTCTCACACCTCCCTAGTAAACAGCGTCGTCCCTAAGGATATCTAGCAAACAGAAGAAAGACTCCCTTTCTTTCCCCACTCAAGACTCAAAACTTGTCGTAAAGACTCCCGTTCTTGGACTAGACATACATACAAATTGTTGTTCCCCGCCTCAGTGTCATGCCCACCCACCACCCCCAAAGCGGACCGCCAGGACCTAAGGGAGTCCTCTACCTGAGGGAGAGTTTGACAGAGTGGCCAGAGCGCAGAAGACCCAACAGATCTGAAACACAAATGCAAGCTCAGCACTCCCCTCCTTCAGTTTGAGGGTCCCTTGTTTCCCCATCCTATTTCAGGCACCCCCAAGAAAAACAATTACTCTCAAGAGGTTTTGCTTAGCCACCCTGTGCCCTCCTAGCCGCCCAGAGGACTAGTGAGCGCAAAGTGGCATTTGTGGCATGGGTCTTTGAGCTGGAGCTGAGCTACCTTGGGTCTTTGGCTTTGCCGGTTTTTTTTTCCCTTTTCCCCTTTCCCCTTTCTCCTTTTTTTTTCCGTCTCCCAGCACCCGCGGCTATGAGGCTCTGTACGTGGCCACTCCAGGCTCCCCATGTCCTTCCCAGCCCTTCCTGGCTGCGGGCCAGGGCTGTGGCGCTGAGCGCCCGCACGGCCTCCCCCCTCCTCCCTTCCGCCCTCCGGCCTCCAAAGGGAGCGGGCGAACTGTTGGGCGGGGCGCGGAGCGGAGCCTGGCCACACCTCCCGGGCCGGCTTTTTCTAGGGCTGCTGCGGGCCACTGGGCGCTGGCTGCTCCTGCTCGCCTCTCGGGGTGCGCTCAGCTCCAGCCCTGCTCCAGCCCGACTCCGGCCCTGCTCCGGTCCTGCTCCGGTCCTGCTCCGGTCCTGCTCCAGCCCAACTCCGGCCGTGCTCCAGCTCTCCTCCGCCACGCCTCTCTTGGAGCTCCGCGCCTTGACCCCCTGGCTCGCGGCTTTCGGTACCTCTGTCCCTTGGCGTCCCGCACTCCCACGACCTCGCGCCCTCCCAAGTCCCTGTGCCCTCTCTTCTACCCCCACAACTCCGCCACAGCCCTCCGCCCTTTCTCTGGCCCTCTCCATCTGTCCGTCAGTCGGTCTGTCTGTCCGCCTCCCCACCCTCCTTTTCCTTCCTCTGTCCCGCTTCTCTGGCTTGTTCCCTAGTTCGACTTGGCGGAGCAGCTTCGCAGGAAAATCCCAGAAACCTTTGCAAAAAGCTTACAATGAAATTTAAGAAGTTCTACGATTTCGGCGCCATTTTCGAGTGGAGAGGTGACTTGCGATCTAAAAAAAGAGGGGGAAGGGGACTTTTAGGCTGAACCCCCCCCCCAACTATGACGCTGATCACTGCAGACTGTAACTCTGTTATGCGGGGATAACTCTGAAAAAAAGTTCTGTGTCGCGCTGGGTGGGGGGTTGGGAGGGTGGGAAGCGTGTTTGGGGGGTCAGGGTGGGGAGAGGAAAGATCTTTAAAATGTCTAGCAAATGAGTGTGCCCAGAGAACTCGGAAAATGGACTGAGAAGAGTGAACAGGGAGGATCAGGAAGAGAAAAGTGAGTAAGGGGCGGTGGCCGACTGTCAGCCTCGCCAGGGTGGGGAGCGACTGGTTTTGACAGACTGTAAATAGGCGACTCTCATTTGTAAGCCATAAAGACTGTCCTGGAAAGAAATGTAAAATTCATTTTACATTGTCTCTCGCTAATTAAAACTTTTCAAGGTTGTTTAGTTTTTCCAGACTCGACGTTGGAAAAGTTTGGCTGGAAGGTGCGGAGGACGTTTATATCGTGCGTTTTGGGTGTGGGGGCGCACGGCATCTGCAACATTAAAAGGCAAAACGTTCTCAACTGTGAAGAGAGGAAGAGGCGTATTCTTTGGCTCTTAAATCATTTGGCCAAACACGTCGCAGTTCTGAAGGGGGTGGGGCCATGGCAACTCCAAAGTATTGATTCTTTGTCTATTGTATCAGTGAATGACCCTCTCCAGAAGTGACCAGACGCCTCTTTGTGTTCTCCTTTCGTAAGTAAAGTTCAGCCCAAGGGGAAATACATAAACCGGAGAGTGAGATGGCTTTTGAGGGATATAAGTCGTTGTAGTGTCGCTGGAAGAAAAGAAATGGGTGGAGTAAAATATATAGATGAATTTTGGTTCCGGTATATTCGTTAACAAAATGATCTAGAAGGACCTTCGTCTTTGACGCTGATGTCACTTCGAATGAACTTATGTTTTTTTAATAGTCAACTAAGGAAATGTTAAATTAGGATTGGCTTTAATCTCACATATTTGTGTGGAAAATAAAGTATAATTATACCTTTACTAAACATGTTTTTTTTCTCTCTCTTTTTAAGGGCGACCATCAACGGTTTTTTTTCTTCTCCATTATTCAGTGTCCATGTAAAAATGACTTGTAATATAGCCAAGACAAGACAGAATTTAGAGACTCGTTCCAACTTAAGGAGTGGGGCTATTATTATTAATGACTTTATTTATCATGACCTTATGGGTTTATTATCAGCGCATTTGTTAGCACTGGATCACAATCTGTTGTGTTAGGAATTTTGTACTTAGTTTAATTACATACTCTGTATATTTAATTAATTGATTGATTGATTTATTAATAGGACACAGCATTCATTGTACTACTTTTGAGAATGTTTTGTTTAAACAAAAGGAAATGAATGAATGTAACTTTTTGCTCAAGTGTGTCCATTTTGAAAATCAAGAGCGGAGCAGTGCCGGCCATTTCAAGACATGAGTTTCGTGGAAGTGCTTGAGAAGGAGCGATTCGACATCAAGTATTTAAAGTTCTTGATTCGTGTTTGATAAGTGACATTGATAAATGTAAATTATTGATGAATCAGTTTGAGTAACCAGCAATGTATGAGAATATCTAGGGGTTTCATCTATAGAACGTTCTCATGCTTTGTCTTCAAAAATAACTAATGACAAGGTGTTTACTGTAAGAACGGAGTTGAAGGAGATGTCTGCTGTCTGCACAAACAAGGCTATTCCATGCCTATAGTATTCAGTAAAACCAACTGGAGCTACCCAGAGGGTTTTCTGATTATCAAAAGTTCCTTGCATTGCTTTCCAATAAATGACCCAAAACTGGGGGCGATAAATGAGACTTAGGCAATGCAGCAGGAAGTTTCACCAAGACTTTGGAGCTGGCAAGAGTGATCCAGATGTTACCAAATTGTCTCAATTTATTTAATCTCATTTTTCATCTACTTTCTGAGGTAAGAGTCTCCCCCATCCCACTATCTGTCATAGCCCTGCTTTTCACCAATATACTTTCCCAATATTCATGGTGAGGGTGTGTGAAACCCGCATCCTTCACCTCACCAGCAGATCCTGGAAATCCAGCGAAGTTATAAGAAGTACTAACTTATAAAAAGTCCATCAACTTGGAGTGATAAGTCCTGAGAAGCATACATTGTACTTAATTCTCACCAGGGGGCAGGGCAAGGCGGGGCTCCCTTCTACTCACAGAGACTTTCTTCATTCACAGGTCGCAGAGCGACCCCCACCCTCGTTGACTCCGAAGGGATGCAGCAGCAATTCATGTTTTGGAGTATTGCCAAGGTTCAAAACATGAAGCGCTGCAACACCCCTTCGCGGGGAAGGTAGAAGGTGGGGGCCTGCAGAACAGACCCATGGGGGTTCTCCTAAAAGCCCCAAAGCAGGTAGGTGGGAGGGAGGGCAGGGACTGTCTCTTCAGTCCATGGGACTTAGTCTAGTGAGGGCCACTCTACACTGTTCAAGGGCCTGGGAGGGGGTGACTGGCCATGCACTTGGAGGAGGGACAAGATATCCTGCCCTCAGCCCACCACACTCAGTCGTGCCCTAGCAGCGTGAACAGTACTGCAGTGAGTGTTTGGTGCCCTGAAGTATTGTTTCCGCTGCCTGGGTAAGTCTGGGACTTCCACATGGGCACATCCACCCATCAGGTAAGTTTCGGTCCATCACATGCAGCACTGGGCCCAATGCCAGCGAGACTCCCGAACAGCTCCAGACTAGAGCTTTTGTGTTTGTCTTCCGTGAAACATTTGCGGATCTGTGACTATGACGGGGTGTGACAGACACTTTGTTGTTAGCACCTCGCTTCCTGCCCAGGTAAAACTGAACCGACTGGAAAGCAAGCACCACCTAGTAGAATACCACCCACAGGACAGCAATGAAGAAAGTTTCTTTAGTCCTCAACAACAAAATGGGGAGGGGGTTCCCCGAAAAGGAATGAGAAGGGGTCCGTCCGAAGGTGGTCGGGAATGATGACTTGAAGCAATCCCCATTTCTCTCTGCAGTTCCTGCTTAGATCCTGCATAGAAAAGACTTTAGGGATCAGGAAAGATTAAGGATCCCACGGCTGGGCTAGTGGGGGAGGGGGCGTCCCTGGATCTCAGGCATCCAAAAGAAACACATAGGTAGGCACATGACCTTGCTGATGGTGAACCCCAGGTGGCACAGTGAGAAGCAGTGACCTAACAGGAAGCCTCAGAGTGAGGCTCTACATTTCTAGACCCCTTTTGTCCCCATTTCCTCAAATCATCACACAATTCTACCCTGGCAGCAGGGACTCAAGGACACCTTTGTCACTGCCTAGAAATATTGACAGGCTCTGACAAAATGGTAAGCAGCATCAGAGGTATAGATTCAAGGTCCCTTTGTGACACCCCAAACGCTGTGTGCTGTGACAATGATCACAGCACCTCTGGAGTCCTCCACTCCCTTGAGGAGCCCTTGGAACCTGCGGTGAGAAAAGGGGTCCAGAGTCACCTGCGGACTGGAGAAGAGTGTTAATTACCTGAGCGAGGCCTTACTTTTCCTGTGAAAATAACTGTATATAATCTAGAGCATGGGCATGTAAAGTTCTGTTGGAAAACGGAGTGGGGGTGGTTGGTGGTGGTGAAATCTTTCTGCTTTGTCATCTTAAAAAAAAAATAAAATACACATACACACACCCTTCTGGTCTGTATGAGCTGCCTTGTAGTGATCGTCCCCAGGGACTGGATGCAGGCCCCCATAAAATTTACAGTTAGAGGAGGCCTTGTGCGCCTGGGAGTCTATCTCTAGCCACCAAATGTCTTTCTCCCAGACTCCCTTGCTCTTGAGCAATGTGTGGGAGGTGGTTTAGGTTCCTTTGGGCCCCCAAGGACCCCTGGGCTCCAAGGAGCACCAAGAGCCGCCCTCCGGACTTCGGCCAAGCCTCATCTCCATGTCCCCTACCACTTGTTGAAGCCACGCCCCCAGCTCCTGCCCCACCCCGCCCCCTGGCAGGGCCCCTCTGTCCCGGAATCCCCAGGGCAAATGGCTAACAGGTTCAGGCATCCGCGTTCCTATGCACTGGGTTGGAGGAGGGGCACTTTGAGACTCCTTACTCTCCCTCACCAGCTTCCCTTCTCCCTTTCCGCTGTTCAACAGGTTTTTCCCTTAAGTCAGAGGAAGAGCACCCGGGTGCACTGAAGGCGCCCACCCATCCAGAAGGATCTGGTCCGCACCATCTGGCTCCTTCCAGTGGGTGCCTGCAGGACTCAGGTGAGATTCAGGCGGGTTGGGGACTTTAAAGGACAGAGAGCAGGGTCGCAAATGATCCGATTTAGGGCCATTGCCTTCCAGAATCCAAAATGTCCTTTGCCCAAGGTGCCCAAGGGCGCCAAAATTGAGCTCATCCACACAGCGCCTGACTGCGTGGTGTCCTTTTCTGATTTGAAATGTTCTTCGCACCTTTATTTGCTCAGTTATGGTGTGCCTAGATTTTCTTCCAAGGGCAAAAATGTGAATAAAGCAATATTTTAGCCAAACACTTCCATGTCAATTAAGAAGATGGCAATTCGTTCCAGACTATAAATTCTCTTTAACAACTCCCTAAGGTATTTTTTAAATTGTTTTTTCAAACATTGCTAAATGTGCATCATAATGTGTGGGAGACTTGTATAAAGTGATTCAATTTATAGTCGGCTGATTAATTGATCCTCCATTACCACATTCAAAGAGGTACCTCTCCATTGTTTTCTCATTTTTTTCCCCAACACATGTTATTTGTTAGTGAGGAAGCTGTGTGCACGTGGCATTGTATAAAGTTTATTAGACAGACATGGCTCTTAAAACTATGAAAAGCTTAGCCTGGCTCTAAATCTAAACTTCGACATTTCTATAAGTCGTAGGACATGGCATTCAGGTTATTATGATACACTAGAATTGAACATGATTTTGTAACAATTTTAATAACAGGAATACTTCTGAAGGCATCTTCAGTTAGCAGTACTGGTTTGGTTTGGTTTTCTTTTTTTCCAACAAGGGAACACTACATCAACAATCTTGGGGATGTGGACACAGAAGAAGCACAGTCGTCTTCCAAACACTGTAATTTATATGCATTTTACCACACTAGATATTGAAAACCACCCTACTGGGGAGTTAAAAGAGAATCAATAACTAGTGTCATATTATATGTCTTTTAAAATGTTCCTGGAAAGTGTTTTATGATCTGTAAGTCAAAGGATCCGGTCCCAGCATTTCATTCTCCCTGCTAGTCCCCCCAATCCAGGCTCCTTTGTTTCAGTTGGCACGTAAACTTGTTTTTCCCACCAAATGAGTCAGTCATGATAGGAGCATCGATTGATTTGAACAGATGTGTGTCAATGTTACTTGGAAAAAACTAGATGCCAATAACCAGGGCCACAGGAAAAGGCAGTGGTTGTACCTCTGTAAAGCATTTATGCGTGCACACAGACAAGGACAAAAGTAGAATCCTAAACAGGCAAACATTTGGATATACTCCAGTACTGGGAGACTAAATAATTGTATGTTGCTTTTGATTTCCATTAACATGGGCAACTATCCAATTAAACATAAACCCAATAAGGACTCTGCAGTGCCCATTATTTTGCTTAGTATTCTAAAACACCATAACCTGTCCATCCATTGAGGAGGTGGGACTAGCAAGGGACTGGGTTTGCTCCTCAAACCTGGAGAAAACATGATTCTACAAGACAGAAATGAACTGACAGGCAGCTTTTCCTGAGAGATCGTGCGGGATGAAACTTACAAATAGGTTCAAAACGTTTGCTTGTGGAAGATCAATGAATACATATTGATAGAGATTGAAGGACTTGAACTGGAGGCTATACCAAGTTGACATTAATTCCTAGAGATCTATTTACCCATTGGCCAGAAGCGTATCTCGTGATCCCAGAAGTTTATATGTTCATCTTTAGAGTTACTGCATAACTCTTAAATGAAACACAGTATGTATACACCAATCATATCAAATATGTAACTCCCTGGCCCAGTACAGCCTGTCTATGCCCACCCATTAGTATCTGTTCACCAAGTTGGGATCCCCTGGCTCGTCCTAATATTTCACCCGTCTGCTTCCCTTGCTTCACAATTGATCTCCTCAAGTTCAAAAGGGCTTAGAGCCCTGTGGGCACCTTAAGCTCCGTCATTAGGGAGGAGCCTCTAAAGACTTCCTATGGTCCCTCAGCCTTGGAGCACTCCCCTTCAGCTCTTGAGCTCTGTCATCTGAGCAACTGGTGGAAACTGAAGAGGGGGCCCTGGCCCCAAATCAGGGGGCTGGGAATACTGCTTGCTTTGCAGCCTGAATTTCCTGAGGCAGAGCCCTGGCTGGGCGTTTGCTACCCCTCCCCCACCTCCACTCTGCAGCGTGAAAGGCAGCTTTTTGTGGCCCAGAAACAAAATCTTTGCCATCCTCATCTCAGCACTTGTCTGTCTGTGATTTGTTCACCTGCTTTCCCAACTGCTTCTGCAGATTTGTTGTGTGCAACCACTTTGAGAGAAGTTAGGCAGAAAAAGTGTCCAGAAACCCCGGGGATTCTGAAGATGAAGGCTGTATGGAGGCCTAGCTGCTGAGGCCTCATAATCCAGACTTCATGCTGTGCCAGGTAATGTCCCTACCTGGTCATCAGAAGCCTCCACCATAGTGACTGCAACAGAAAATGGAGTGAGCTAGTGGTTTGCGTAGAAAAGGTCTAGGGGAAACTGCCTAGTCTTAAACTGAGGGAGACTAACTGCTGGACACTGACTT